CACGGCCCTGCTGCAGACAATCCTTTCTACTGGTTTCTGAGCTTAAGAACTTCTTGAAAAGAATGAAAGGGAACTGGCCTACAGCTTCAACCAGCAAAGCATAGCACCACAAGGCTACAACGGGGTTACCAATACGGCAGAGCTCAGCTGAGTTCCAACTTCTCTACAATATGTCATGGATACGCCGGCAAACGTGTGTGAATCACATGACAGCAGCTCTCCCCTTTAACAAAACAGAAAGAAAACAAATGATTAGCCCAGAACAGCAACAGCAACCAATGTACCTCTATCTACACTTAGCACTCCTCTACTGTAATTCTCTTTCTAAAGTAAAACAGGCATTAAAGATTGGACTGAACATAACAGCCTCCATTGTTCAGGCCCTGCTCCTTCAACATCTTCCTAAAACCACAGAACCTAACCCTATCCCCTCCAAAGCGAGCCTTCAGATCATCAGTTTGAATCTTTTCGGCGATACAGATTGGGCCCCAGTAGTTCCTCTATCAGAACAGATAATTCTGGGCGTGCTTTCATAGCGCAGTGGTTTATGCACATCACCCACGTATGGAGCACCTTAGGCCTTGATGCAGCCAACCCGGGTTCTAATCTGACCTCTGGTAATTTGCCGCATGTCTCTAACCCTCCCTCATACCCCGTTTTTTGTCAGCCTACTGTCCAAAAAACGAGCCACTAGTGCCGCAAAAAAAGAAAGATAATTCTGCTTTATCAAAAGCATGGCCCCCTGATGGAAGATAGTCGTAATTTTTAAAATGTCACAGAACAAAACAGGGATAAAAGGTCAAGACACAGTAGGGACAGGTGACACAGTCAGCTTCCTTGGGCGCCATCTGCAGGATAAAAAAATAAAATCTATGCATCATGAAACAATCTCTATACATGGCTAATATTTTCCTCTGAAAGACACAGAAATAAAACCTTAATATTTAAACTCTTTGCAGTGATCTGGGCGTATGACCTACTTCTCTGACGCTTGTTTTGGCTGTGATGTAGATGATGCAAGCGTCTTTGGAGTTCTGTCTAGGGCTGAAACAATTACTCAGATTAATCGTGGTTACTCAGTTATTTAAATAATTGTCTACTAATCTAATAAACGATTAATGATTAATTGTTAACTGGAGTATAGACTCTAAAACACGCCTTTAGGTGACAGAAGGACCCACTTAGAGCAGTAATTATATGAAGATCGTAAAAAAAATATATCAGAATCAAGTTTATTGCCAAGTAGGTTTGCACTTACAAGGAATTTGACTTGGTGTTGTTGGTGCAGACAAAAAACAAAATAAGATAGAATATATATATATATATATATATATATATATATATATATATATATATATATATATATATATATATATATACACATATATATACAGAAGCTATATACACACAGTAGACTGTGCGTTAATGTAACACAGAAATCCTGAAGGGGGAGAGAAACATTGTCCAGTGTCACGGGCAGCTCTTGGCCTTGTTGATATTTGATATTTTGCATTCAAGATTTGCATTCAAGATAAAAAAAAAATAAAAAATCTGTCAATAGCTCAATCCAGAACTCCTCAAGTGATATTGTTTGCGTTGCACCTGGTTTAATTTAATTAAAAGTCTTCTTTAAAGAATCTTTGGCTATCCCATTATTAATCCATTAATCGAAAAAATAATGGACAGATGAATCGATTTGCAAATTAATGTTTAGTTACAGCCCTAGATCTGTTACACTTTTCATTGATGGAATGTGAGAGTTTAAAAGAAAAAATGAAAGCCATCAGGAGCAGCTTTCCAAAAGCAAAACAAGGAGGAAAACAGAAAAATAGCCCAGAGCAGAGGTATGTAGACTCTATGGATTTAAAGATGGGGTTCTAATGAGCTAACAGCAACAACAATGTTGTTAGAACATACTGTGTTGCAGCTACTTTATTTTGCCACGTTTGCCAATTTACTTTTGAATCGTGTCCAGACGCAAAGAGACAATATCTGCTGCAGCCATGACAGGCATCTGTTGATGCCGCAGCACTGGCACTGTATCTTTGTATCTTTGCTGGGGCATATCTTTAATTAACTTTGTGTAAATTATAAGTAGCCATAAAAATGTAATATTTCTGTTATATCAGAACAGAAAAAATATGCTTCATCTGACATGTTGGGAAGTGAGAAATGCCTTTACACCATACGCAGCCTGACGTTTATACCAGTCTGTTTATGTTAACGCTGCAGCATCCATCAAGCCATCAAGCAGCAGTAGCAACACATTTACCAAGCAACCATCTCAGCATCTAGATCCTGGTGAGAATACTTGTTAGGTTATTTGTATCCCACAATTGAAAGTTTCTATTGTGGGATACAAATAGCCTAAAGCGTTTCTATTAGAAACAATCTTTTTTAATTTCAGATTATCATATATATACATTATTATCTCTGGGAATTCACACATACACTAATTTTTGGCACTATCGATGTGAAATACCCTGAAAATATCTTGACTTAGAGATCGAAAATGTTTGTCTTCGGACTTGAAGCTGTTTTATTTCTTATAAAAAAAAAAAGATAGAAATGAGTTTGTGTGCTCAGACTAAATCATTGCTATTGATGGAATCTTCATCCTTAGTTTGGCATAGTAACTGTGCCTCTATTACTTGAATAAGACATCATGTGTTAAATATAAATGCCATCTATGTATTCAATATTTATGTGCTTCCTCCAGGTCAGATTTTTACCATGATGAACACGTTAGCATGACTATGCAGAAAACACACAGTGGTACATTACCAGGTGACTATGAACCCATTTAAGTGCTGGGTAAATGAATGGGTATGCCAAATCTTTCTTCAGTTGATTAATAACAAAGCCGAAGAGACTATATTTTTGGAACAAAGGCAGTGTTTAAAAGTTAGCACACAGCTTCAGTTAAAGCAATAAACTACCAATCAGGCTCCAAATCCTGGTATAGTGATAAACTCAGACCTGAACCTTCAGAGGCACATAAAGTTGGTAACAAATCAACCTTCTGCCTGCTAAAAAAAAACCATCTACTGGACTAAAGTCTGAGCAGGATTTTGGAAAAACAAATGCATGCATGCATCTTTAGAATCGATCTCTGCAGCGCTATCTTTACATGTCCTCCTAAAAAAAGAATGGATCAGGCAGCTATAATGGATCCAGAATGCTGCTATCAGTGTCCTTATTAAAACAAAGAAAGTGGAGCAGATCAATTGTGTTTACATTGGCTTTCCGTATCTCCGAGAATAGATGTTGACATACTTCTGTTAGTCTATAATTCACACGATGTCGTAGCATCAAAGTGCATTGCAGACTTGTGGTCAGTGTGTCTTCCACCCAGACCTCTCAGGTCAAATCAACTCAGTATACCTTATAGTTCTGATGCTCCACTAACATGAAATAAAAGTGCTAAAACCTTAATTTGGCTTAAACTAAGATTAAAAACGTATTTGTTTAGGTTTATCTTTGTCCTATCAAAAAAATAATTTGAAGTACAAATTTTTTTCATGTTATTTTCAAACATTTTCTTTCTTTTTTTCTTTTTTTACACTTGAATTCTAGGACTAGTGACCTGTCCAGCGTGTATTCTGTTTTCGCGCATAGAATCCTGAGGAAAGCCAAGCCTCACGGTGACCCTGGCAGATAAGCAGAAGAAAAAGGCAGCTGTGGATGGTTACAGTGCCTCCATAGATATTCTGACCTTGAGTTATCTATTGTGGATACATTCTTTAAAAAAAAAAAAGAAAAATGTAAACTTTTGCCTGCCTAGTCCTTCATAAAAAATACTGTAATATCGATTCAGGCCAGTCACCCGCAAACATCAATAACCTAAAGCAATGTTCAGCTCAAGACTCGGGATACTTTAAAAAATATCAAGCTAATGTTTTGTGACAATAATTCCTCTCAACCATTAAATTCTTACGCTTATTATTGACATTTAATGGCAGCAAGGTGAAGACAAAGGAAGTTACGCCCATATAAATAGGAGTAGTATTTAATGTTGTGTTACACACAAAAAGCAATAATGGACTGAATGAAGTGGATCAATATTTCCTATAAGTATTAAAATACAATTAGATTTAGTCTAATAAAAAAAAAAAAGTATAATAATGAAAAATAATAAAACAGTTCTCCCTTTTGCAAATGATTCCTTCAAGAAGAGTCAGAAAAATAAATAAGTTTCACTCACATGCAACCCACACAAATATTCATTATTTGATTGTATTTGCAAACAGCAGCAGAATAAAATAAAATTTAACCCCAGCATTATTTTTACAGCTCCTCTTTAGTCATACAAGCTGCAGAGGAGTGAAAACTTCATGCCCTTCTTCAGTAAATAGTGAAGAAGGGGATCATTACAAAACACAATGGCTAAAACCGGACAAAGCTAGTGGTAGGTCTAAAGCTTCAATTTAAAGGTATAGTGGAGGATGTTTTTTTTTTTTTTTTCCGGGTGGATCATCAAAATAAGTGGTCCTCCTAAGGGTCAATCATTCTGGTGTTATGTTTACGTAAGGCTGTCCTACATGCTCGTCCCCATTTTCACTTACCGGTGACGAATCTGACATAGTGGAAAAATGGAATTGAATTGAAAAATGGAAAAAAATCTTCTTTTGGAAAATAAGCTTGTACGAGTGATGCAAACAGCAACTTTTAAACAGAGCGTGCATGAGGAGAAATGGGCTCATGCACGCTCTTGCACATGTTTAATAGACGTTCCCGTTTTTTTTTAAAGCAAAGAGGGCAGGTCTTTTCAATAAAGCGTGAAAATCCTTCAATATACCTTTAAATTGTAACTTTTTTTATTGATAAGGTGAAAAAAAAAAAGATGTCTAGGCTTGGAAACTTAAGAGCGTGTTAAAAGCTTATCGTTTCTGTTATTTAGTCTGCCTTTAATTTAGCAGATTCACTGGGACCAAAACTCTTGAGTTGGAAACACTATCATTTTGCCAGCTTTTAGTTTGACAAGAAATTTTTTTTTTTTTATCATCTCTAGTGAGGGTTTTTACCTAAAATGAACAAATAAACCCTCAACAAGGATGTTTTGGGAGACCAACGACTGGTTTTAACCAATCTGCAGATGCTTTGTACCAACAGAGGCCACATAAAAAAATAACAACACAAAAGCCTACTTTTAGCCAGTATGGTATATTTTTTATTTAGTTATTCAGCCCTAAAAATGTAAAGTAAACTAAGTTTGTCTTTTGATTTGTTTTACATTCCTGGCTTAATAATATAATGCCTGTAATACAATACAATCCCATCAATTTGATTCCCCGCAGCACCAGGTCATTAGCTAGCAGCAGCTCAGTGCCTCCAGCTGGCTCTGGCAGTTGATAACGAACATCCCCCCGGACCAAACAATAGAGCATATGATACATTAGCGAAGATCTACAGCCCTGTGAAATGACTGTAATCTGATTCCTTGATCACATCAGGGGTTTCATTAGTATATGATCCACTTTCACGCAGCTGTTGTGAGATTTGTTGATTGGTCTAAGGCACAGAATGAATCAAAGGAAACCATCAAACAATGACAGAACTAATTATGGACTCATTATGAATGTATAACAATGACCCTTTTTATCCGACAGCGTTACCATGGCACGCCCGCAGCGGAGAAACCTCCGTGGCCCTGCTGCTAACATCATCAAAGAAAATGAGCTTCAGGATATTTCTATTGTCTGTCTGATGAAATAGTCTATTCCATCACTATTCAGGGTTTTGTTTATTTCACTTATAATGCAGTGGTAGGGATCCTGTGTGGTATGACCAGGTTCAGTGTCCCTCAGTGAGTGAGACTCTACAACATCTACAGTGTAATAAACTGATTTTCTTCTATGGGTTCCATGGTTAGTAGCTCCTGGCCCCTCCTAGTCCTGTTGAGGCAGAAGCCCCTGGAATTGGACGTAGTGAGAGTTGCAGTAGACGGGGGGCTTGTTTGGACAGGCTTGGACCTGCTCTGGCTTCTGGGAGGTGAACGGATTGGGTCCACTTTCTATGATGTGCACCTCCAGCTCAAAAAGGATCTCTAGGGAATACTTGAGCTCCATTTCACTGTAGAGGAAGGAAAGAATAAAAAAGTAACACATAAATAAATGTGAACAAATACTTTCTGCAGCTTGGCATATCCCTAAATAGAAAGGCACGTTTTTCCCCCTAGCTAATAGTCAACTAAATGTGGGAGAAAGGGCTTTCTCTTTAGAAGAGGTGCAGCATGTAATCATATTTTCATAACTCCAAACTCACATAAATAATTTAGATTGTGTCAGAAAAAAACATTTATTTTCAATGAAAGAGATGTTCAAAAGTACAGGTCTAAAATGTACCTGTACATGGTGAAGAAAGAAGGGATGTTGTAGTCTCTGAGCAGAAGTAAGGTGGGCAGCCATCCTTCAACCAAACCCTGATTGGCATGGAACCCTGGATTAAGAGAAAAAGAAATATTAATCAGGGTTCCTACAGCATAAGGCAAGTTAAATTCAAGACTTTTTAAGACTTTTTAGTTCCACTTGAAATAAAAATTTAAGACCAAATTCACAAGAAACACAAGAAAAATCTGCTTGCGACAACTTAACCCAAAGGTTTATTTTAACATAAACCATTGCACTAATGTTTCAAATATTGAAAAGCTTCCCCTACAGGAAGAAAGCTAAAACACACAAATGACAGATATATTTAAACAATTATTTAACTGAATTCACAAACTTTGTTTTAGAAGGGAACAAAACAAATCAGTTTTAAAGCTACAACATAACCAGTGCTAAGTCCTTAGTATGTTTGATTTGGTGATAAGTGGAGGCGTTGCAGAGACAAGAGTGGAACAAAACTGAGAAATACCGTCTGTTTCTCTGTAACTCGATTTTGACGCTGTGTTTCGTGCTTCGCATGTGCGACTCTCCACTGCCTTAATTCCCATCGTTCCCAGCTTGAATTGCTTTTTGCACAAAATACACTGAGCCTCATGTATGTTCCCTGGCACTGGTTTTAGCCATGGAGAAAACTCTTGGCTGGAGCCAATTTTCATTACATTTACACTTGCTCATATTTTCCAGACAAAAAGTTAATGGTGCATATCCCGAATGTTCCGGCCGCAACAACGCTTTTATTGGTTCCGCTATCAGGACGGAACCAATTAAGGCAAGCCATAATTTTTTTTTAATAAAAAGACAAAAAAAATGGTCAATTTTAACGTTTTATTTAGATTACAAAAATAAATCGTAATAAAATTAATCCTAATTATAATGTTTAAAAAATTAGGACCTACGAAAGACTGATTTAAGACATGTTAATACCAATTAAGGCCTTCATTTTATTTTGAAGAATTCAATGACTTTTAAGACTTTTTAAGGACCCGTGGGAACCCTGATTAATGTATAGGACACCTAGACATTATCTGGTATTATATTTCTTTACATATTGATCCTAATTTCATGACCCCTGTTCTCTCTCTTACTATAAAGATAAAAGACATCTGCAAAACATCATCATCTTTCTTAAGAAAACAAGATTTAACCAAATTTAGATGTTATTTTAAGAGTCATTTTGAGTCCTAGTTATGATGCTTGCAGTTGTAACATCAGAAATTAGGATTAAGAAGAACCTTTTGAAATTGCAGGAAGAGCAGTGAGAGATTTCCTGTAGTGAGTCACACTTTTGCTTTGCACACATGCAGCAAATTACTCTTAAACTAAAAAATTACTTTTGTAACCTTCTTTAAACCTTTCTGTGTATCTCCTCTCTTCTTATAAGTAGATGTGGCCAAATTAGTTTTTCTCATAACAAGCAGACATAATCTAACTTCACGCAGACATGGAAAAAAGCTCCACTAAAGTATGAACTCTGGCAGGAATGCTAAATTCATATAATCTGGTATATAATCCTGTGGCATAATAATTGACAGCTGTCAAGTGGCCTGAAATCTGCTTTAGACTTGTGGCGTGTTTTCCAAGCCGCAGGATGCGCAGCGATAAAAAGTTTGCCCTTCAATCAGATTACTGTGCTCCACAGCCACCATGGCTACAAATCCATCCGGCTTAAATGTCCTTCTTAAATACAATCAACAAATGAACAGGGAAGACAAAACAGTTAGAAATTAGCTCTCACATAACTACGTCGTCAAGGAGAAAAGAGCATGTGGTATCTAAAGCCGCGGGGATTTGGATGTGAATAATGCACACCGTGGTATTATGATGCCAAGGGCTTCACTTCTAGTCATTATAAAAAATTTAACAGCGATTAAGTGTTTAGAGGTTTAGATATCTAGGAGATAAGGTGACAAAGAGAGACTTTGGATCATTGGAAACATTTCTAGGCTCCTCTACTGACTTTAGACATATGGTTAACGGTAATGCTGGATGCAACAGTGTTTTTCTTTTGCTTCATGGCGACAAAGTAGATTCTGTCACCGAGGTGGCATAGCAAAGTCATTAAAATCTGTTAACAAGCCACATCTCTATTTTTCTGGTAAATATCCATTTTCTTTCACAGAACAGTTTATTGTTTTCTTACGGTTTGCATACATACTCTCCTTTTCATTTCTTCTGTCCCACTGCTTGCACCTCTATCATTTAAACAGTATTTTAATGCAGTGCTCTACCAGCTTTGCAGCATGAAATGCGTCCACGTGGCTAGGCTGTTTACATATTGGGTGAGGGACAGCTTTCTTTATATTTAGCTCCAGGAGAGCTTGCAGAGTTAACTCATCTAATGGGGTGAAGTAATGCATTCGGGTCAAGGATTTATCTCTCATTTACAGGTTAAAGTATCAAAGAAAGATTCAGTTTAAAAGATTGAAAGAAAGATTAGTTTTTTGTCATTTGCTGAAAAGAGCACAAAAAAACAGGGAGTAATATTGGTTAGGAGCTGGAAAGACCTAACTTTATGTTTAATTTTTATACTTTTTTTTTAAATAAAAAAAAAAAAAATTGCTGGAAGCACTACATCAAAATGAGGATCTGCATGGATTTTGGACATGCCCTGAATAACCCGAGAGTCAAAGGTTTCCTGTATCCTAAGGCCATTAAGTGATATGCTGAGTATAGTGACTGCAAGCCAAACTCTTTCCCAGTTGCTGCAATAAATCATCCAAATCCCCACTAAAAGCCTGCCACTAATGAATAGGCCAGATCTACTTAGCTAAACATCTTTCACTGTTTCCATTTTCTTCAGGGAAAGCATTTAACAATTTTGGGCCACATTCAAACCAAGATGGCTGTGACAATGAGCCTTTGTCAATCAGAATAAAAGCCATCATTTTATCTTCTCGGACTGTTTTGAAAGCCTTTGAGTTAAATGCGTCCATCAGTCTCGGACGTTGTGGATAAAGATCCAGATGTGTTTGTGGATGTGGGGGTAGCTAATAACAATGTAGGATGCTTTGCAATGCCAATCTGCTGCTAGGAAATCTAGAGCAAGAGCTGTTTATTCAAACTCAAGGTAATGCCCAGTTTATGCTGGATTCTTCAAAGGAATCTAAGGTGTGGTTATAGAGAGGAAGTTGTCTGGTAGTTATAGTCTCAGGCTTGGATGTCTACTTTTTCCAAAAGACGAAATGGAAAAAAAAATCTACAGAACTGTTGTCACTGATCCAGTCTTTGCTGTAAAAATGAGCTTAATCAAAAAGCACAGCTCTTAATTTACCATCTATACCCAGACCCTCAAAGATTACAACTCAAAGAACCAAACCCCCAATGTAAGAGGCAGAAATAAGCCGCATACTTTCCCTACTCTTCTTTTTGAAAGGGGAAATTGATGTTGCTGTTGATGTTGATGTTGCTAATGGTATAATTTTTTTTGTTAAGCAAAGAAAATGGCAGATGTAGAACTTGCTGGTGGTAGAAGTAGAACATCATTCTTTCTAGCATAGAAGCACTTTTAGAATTCCCCAGAATAAAAGCATCTGAAGGAAAGAATGGTTGGACTTCTTTATTGTCAAACCAAAAAACAAAAATGAAGATGTAAAGAACGACTCCGACAAGCTATTTGTTTCTATTCTACGGATTAATTTAAAAACATACCTGGATGAAATCCGACAACAATGTCTGGCTTGGCAGCATCCCCTCTCTCGATCACATCCTCCCAGAACTGATGGTAGAGACTCTTATAGGCACTGATGTACACCTTGTGTTTGGGGCCAAATGCTCTAAGCGGAGGTCTCACAATGGGACCATCCACCACCTCTGGTCCCACCATAACTATCTCAATGCCCTGATGTCCAGGAAACATGTGGCTCAGCTCATCGTAGTCAGTCACTCTGGCTCCCATCGTCTCATTGTGGGACACCCCTACTAGGTGAACTGTGAGAGGCTTACTATATGGGTCCAGGGCAAAATGTCGGATTGCCATACCAACTGTGAGAACCCTAGAAAGGAACTCGCTCTGAATTCTCCATAAGGACTGTCTCAGGTCGTCAACGTCGGGTCGTGTCCTGCTGACATTCTTCCAAAGAGTTGCCATATTGGCACTGGATATGATCTTTTCCAGACTTTGGGGGAGGTCTTCCTGCATGGGAAGCCAGTCGTCCCAGCTCTTCACGTCTGCAGCTGACCTAGACCATTTTTGAGTTGGGATTGGAAGATCTCCTGGAACGGTTGGATAAGAAGGTTATGAGAGATCATGTACAACAAATCGAAGTGGCAGAAAGAAGAGAATACAAAAATATTTACAGATGTACAATTCATTTATTACCAGTGAAAATCAGCCACTCCACCAACCGGTCAATTGCCACCAACCGCAGGATTTTGCACACTTTCTTATGATGAGGCCAGTCCTTTTTCTGACAGTCCTTCGCACAGTAGTACACATTCAAACACCTGAGCGACGACAACAATGGAAAATCTCACTGCAAAAATTAAAACTATTCAACAGTTTCTTCCTTTCCTAGGAATTTGACCAATTATAGATCATCATGATATTAGAATTCTAAGCTAGCTTTGATTTTCCCTGTTAGCATTGTGCTAATAGAATTGCTTAATTATGACTATATGCAAATTACAAGTCATGGAAGAAAACTAAAGCAAAGTAAAATCTGCCCTGAACATGCCATTCCTTTCAAGAAATGTGGTGATTTCAACATTTTACTTTGGAAATGCTTTCTTGGAAGTGGGACTTAGAAGCTGGTCAGAGTTGAAAAAAAAAACATATTTTGCAGAATGCAAAATGTAGGAAAATGTAAGAAAATGCAATACTTTTCTGCAAGACTGCAGAATGCAAATGTAGGAAAATGCAATACTTTTCATGTTTTTCTAAGAAGAAATATTGCAAATCGTGTACTCTTCTCTCCTTCGTCACCATTCTGCTCAACGTTGCGTTGTTTCGTCACAAAAAATCTTACTACAACACATTAAATTTTATGGTTTATAACCCGACAAGAAATATAAAAAAGTTCCAGCTATATAAATATTTATTGAGGTACAACTTATATTTGTTAATATTTACACAAAAAAGAAGGTGTGGCTTCTTTTTAATTAATCTCCAGACCATTTTTACACATTGGATATTAAAGTAAGGAATAATTGTAGAAAAAAATGTTAATGAAGAAGAAAGGAAATGCCTTTCCTGACTAAAACCTCTTTAAGTCGATTTATCTCTTCTAAATATAGCAATAGAAAACAGAGATAATCAGACATGAATTGTTAGATTGTGGGTCACAGAGACCTCAGAGCTATTAAGGGGGCCACATAGCAGCATTAATGGTTTTTCCATACTTCTCTAAATAGTTGCAGCAAACATTAAGCTTAATGCCAAAGGCAGCTGAGGAAATCTAAACGTAAACTTTAAGAAAAGAGACAAAAATAAGGTACAATCTCCCTGAGGTGCTGACAGACAGCATGCCATCATATTTACTTGTTATTCTTACCATCTTCACCCGGATGATGTGATATTTCAATATGCATTTAGCTCCTCTGAAATCAGAGTTGCAGAGAGATGAGTCATAGCATCAGTTTTTGCTATATTTGCTCCGTGGCTACTGTCCACCTCTGCAACTGCTGTCCACACATTTGTTGGCTTATCATTGTGTGGCTGATGCAACAGCAGCTGCTAATGCTTCACACATGACTGCTGTTGGACAGCATCAAAACAATATCCTGCCCGGTGATGACACACAAGCTTTGCACTTACTTCACACAGCGCTTTAGGGTCTGTCCCTCTGTGAGGTGTTCTGGGAGTTTGTTGCAGCCAGTGCAGAACTTGAACGTTTCTTCCATCTTCTGAAACATCTCCTTGTAGTTTCGGAACAGGACTCCTTTAGACTTTCCCTCCACAGCAGCCCTAATGAGAATCAGAGCATAGTCACTTCCAAAACAAGACTTGCATCGGTGGCAAGGAGAGAAAATTTCACAGGAAAAGAACGGGCAATATTTCACTCAGTAATGGTTGCTTTAAGGTTTCACCTGTATTCTCCGTAGTCCTTCATGTTGAGCTGATTGAGAATAACCTTAGAGAGGCCAGGCACATTGGAGTCGAGTGAAAAGAAGCCTGACTGGTCAGAAAAGATGCTGTTTGCTCCGGGAGCATAGGACTGTGGGAGTGCTGGGGTCTGGGATGCCATGTTAGGTCCACTAGGAAAACTAAATAAAAAAATAAATGTCATTTATTTAATAGCAATTTATAAGATCCTAAAATTAAGACATCATCACTTTCTGCTCGTCATAAACCCTCCATTGCAAGTGAATCAATCTGGCGCTGTTCTATAAATACTTTGAAGTTGAGACTGATCATCTGTTGTCTTGAGAAAAAAAATCAAAACAACAGATATTTAACAGATTAACAGGATTAAATCTAAACCAATGTCTGTAAATTTTAGTCCCAAGAGCCATTTTGTTGTTTTTTGATGTTTGATGTTTTGATTAATATCTATAATAGGAAATTTGTTGGCATTTATAAACAACCCCTGAGCAGAGAGACGGGCAGTGCAGAGGCACCAGATGATCCTCCACTGTCATTCTGACCTGATAAATGCATTGCTAATATGAATCCCAGCAAATTCTAACATACTGAGGATAGCAGAGAATGAATGCCTGTCTTTAATGGACTGAATGCATTCTGACAGTGAAACAGAGCCCAGGCAGAGTCAGGCAAAATCCCCTGCATATATCTCAGGCATCATTCTGTCATCCCAGCTGCATGCTCTGGAACCCCCCATACGGTCTGTGATCTCTGTAGGTTGACTTGTCTGATCCGAGAGGACGATATAATCCATAAAGCCCTGCTCCTGGTTCTCTGTTTATTTTGGAACTATGATCTAAAATCACCAAATGACTTTGTTCTCATCTGTCTTTAAACGTCTTTAGATCGATGCACAATTTCTTGCTTTTTGAGATCTTTTAACCTACTTCATGTTGTCAGACTGGTTCCATTTAAGTGAGTTCTTTTTATCGCTAGTTGCATTAAAAAAAAAAAAAAAGTCTGATTTATGCAGTTTAGATCCTCTTTGCTAAAGATTTTGTGAACTACAATTGATTCAAGTTTAACCACAGAAGGAAATGACAGTGTCGTAATTAAACAGATACACTAAATTGCACATTTCTAGCAAATGTTTCTTATTTCAACGAGTATAAGATTTCCCCCAAGCAGTAAAACTGGCTATTAATAAACTCGGCCGGTTGAGATTTCCAAGGCAGACATATTTAATCTCTGCATGTCTGAAAGCCATGCTCATATTTTCTAAAGCAGCCTCTTCTCTGCCATCTCCTCTCAGGTTTCATGATCCAGAGGATAGAAAACTATTGTCACCAAAGCATTATACAAATCTCAAACAAGCTGAACCACTTCCAGTTAAATTCTTTGACTTTTGGCCTTTATGCCCCCTACCATCCCACCCCATGCTATTACCTTTATGTCATGATTTACTTACTTCTTCTAAAAGCAGGAGGGGGTAGAGAGGAGGGAAATATGACCATCTACTCGTGGTACAAAACACTCATCGGTCTACATTTAGATTTTATTGGAAACAACAACAAGGTTCGTTAAAATCTTAAAAGCAATATGAGCAAGATTTAAAACTACATCGTTAGTGAAATAGAATTGCTTGTTTTATCCAAAATCAGCATCAATTTTAAAGTATTAACCCTTATTAATAATTTAAACCTTAAGAGCATCTGAGGAAAAAAACAAATTGTTTCATTTTTCCTATTATTAAAGAGATGAAGATGTCCAATATTTGGACATCAGAACCCTTCTTCTACAAGCAGCTTGCAGCATTATCACATTTTCACCCTGACTTGTGAAGAGTAGCAAGTTGACTTGAGGGATGACAACAGAAAGGCAGAGAGGGAGATCTTTAAATCGTCATACCTTCTCCTCAAAACGAGCTGAGCTCCTTCCAGGTAACTACAGGTTTTTCTCAGATCTCAGTGCAAACTGGATAAAAAACAAACAGAGATAGACAGCTGCTTGTGTTGCGTGTCACCACCTCAGGGAGCCTTGTTGGTGCAGTCTGGAAGACTTCACACACCAGGAGTGGGAGAAGGGAGGGTTAGAGCGCTGCTGTCATCTGAGGTTAAGGGGTGTCTGGTATGTTGAGGGGTGGGGGGGTTGCTTTGGGATGAAGCTGGTAGGCAAACAAGAGGGGAGAGGGAGGAAGAGATAAGGTGAAGAGAGGTGGAGCAGACCAAACAAAAACACCCAAAAAAAAATAACACTCAGGATTAACAAGAGGAGGAAACAGATGTCAAGAAAATGATCAGTATATAGAACAGAGGGATCTCAGGGTAAGTAATTCTGACATCACGTTAGTCCAGATAATTTTAAATGTAACCAGGTAAGCAGCAGAACCAAACAGGCAAATTAAGAAACATAAATGTGCTGGATAAATATGCAACAGCCCAGAAACCTGACTGATCTAGATAAGATCTGTGTGGAGGAGTGGGCCAAAATCCCTCCTGTAGTGTGTGCAAACCTGGTGAAAAGCTACAGGAAACGTTTGAAATCTGTTATTGCAAACAAAAGCTAATTTACCAAATATTAACATTGTTTTTCTCAGGTGTTCAAATACTTATTTAAATAAACAGTTTTAGATAGTCATAGTAGACATGCACCTATATGACAATTTCAGACCCCTCCATGATTTCTAAGTGGGAGAAACAATAATTTAAACAAAACCACCAACACTTCTTTTTAATAAAAAAATTTTTATTTGGTCCATTGGAACCTGAGATTGAAAATTAAACATACAGATTTGTACAGATATTAATAACCCAACCCGCTCCCCCCAAAAGAGATCACTAAAATATATATATCACATTTGTCAGCAATTATGTTATCATTTTTTTTCATCTCTACTGTCATATTGTAATATTTTTACAGAATCAGCTTAACTTTTTTTCCTCTTATTTTAAATGTCTATTTCTTTTTTTATTCTGCAGTTTGTACAATTTACAAGGAGGAAGAGAGCTTGGAGGAGAAAAGAGAAAAGGCATTGTGTTGGCTGGACTGACCACTTCTTCTCTGGCTGCAGCCCTATCACCAGCAGGGGGCGCATCCAACACAATTCAACACAAGAAGAGCTAAACATGACAGCAGAAGAAAATGTACAGAAAAAAAACAAAGCTGAATCTCATTACATTAAAGGTTTGAGGTGCCTTGTCTTTGCAGGTGTCTCAGTGCACGTTCATTTCTTTTCAAGCTTAAACTTTATCACAATCCTTTATCGCGGATGAGCTAATCATCAGTATTTAAATCAATAAATTAGACAGAGCAGCAGGACTGTGACACTCAGTCCCACTCCACAGATGGAGACATGAAAGAGACGCTTCTTTGGAAATCCTCAGCATCGGATTTCAGAGAGAAAACTGAAAGTAAGAAAATGATCAATGTTCCTGCTCCTTTATCTCAGAGTCAATGCAGGAAATATTTAAAGGATTTAAAGTTTGAGTGTACAATAATATGACTACTAATCAATAATTATGAACGCATCAGGAACTTTTCTCATCAGCTTTCAAGTGTTTTCCCCATTACAGAAAGTAATTCCGAGACAAAACTGTAATTAAAAGACAGCCAGTTTTCCCCTTCGACTTTAGTACCGCATTCATCTTCCCATTTCGCTCTGATAAAGCTGCTACGTTGCCACGATGAGGACAAAATCAAGAATGATGGCTTTGACTGCAGAAGCAAGAGGAAAGTAGAGTCCCAAACAACAGCACACATAAAAACAGCTCTCGTTCCTCCATTTGTTCTCCTGGCATAAAACATGCTGCGGCTCAGTTCCTGGAGGCCAAGAAGACGCCTGGGCTTTCCCTGGGCGAACAGAAGAAATCCCTGATCTCCTGAAATATACTCAGCAGCTCCTTTTTAAACAGGCCTCTGGGACAGTTTGAGCTCCTCTAGTGATCTCCAGCTACACTAAAACTTTAAGTGACTCACAGCAAAGCGTGAACAATGGATGCATAACCAGCTAATGCTAAACCTAGAGGTCACCTCCTAAACACTAAGTTTGTAAACATGACCTGAAGTCATCATTTGCATTGCTTCTTTATTTAGCATTATTATCAGACACTAACAGCTACTTAGAGCAGCAGAGACCAAAAGAGACTTCCAACACATTAAAATAACTTCCAACCTACAACATCATAGCAGTTCATGTAAACACGGTATTATTAGGTGCCTTTAATCTTTCTCAATCTGCATTAGGTGGTTAATTATTCAGCTGGTGAAGATTTACTCAACCACTGACAGAAATGTAAATCGATGTAAAAAGCAAAACTATTACAGTCACTTTAGAGGAGATCGAATGACTGATGACCAAACCTGGATGATCTTCGGTTTGATTGGCTCAGGACTGAATGTTGGAACGCTAGTTTTTCAGTATTCAGTATTATAATAAAATCAGAGAAAGCAGAGTTAAGCAGCTATTAAAAAAGGAAAATCGTTTTTGGGTCCATTTGTAAAGCAGTGAGCGAGAGCCAGACTTTGAAGAGATAACGGAAAGGCTAAAACTAATCTCTCTCTCTTATGGAACATATTGGATTTGTTAACACCAGCAGACATGTAGCAGAGTTGAGGCTGGATCTACATTTGGTGTGTAATACAAATAGACTAATGTTTAGATACTAATGCTAACTGGGCTAATTGCTAATGCAAGGATACAGTTTAAAACATCTCGGCAATCATTTTCCTTTTTAAAATCGAAAATCAAAACTAAAAATGTCTAATTCTCATTTTAGACTTCCTACGTTTAAGTTAAATCCATTTCATCGATTAGCATCAGATTCTACTTTCATTTTGGAGTTACTCTGATTAGGCATGCTTTACGTTTACATTTACAGTACTCGTTTCACACCAGAGGGGGCGCACTGCCTCCTTTTATATATATAATCCATATGATTACTAGGTTCTCTGTAAATAGTGTTATGTTGAAAAGCCAATGATGATCTTAAAGCATGTAGCACAGATTTAGTATGAACATCTGTTATGTTTTTAAACCAAAGTGGTTAATTTTAGCAGTCTGCTTTAGTCTCAGCTCCTTTTGGACTAGCAGTTTTACTCCAAACATCCAGGAAAAAACACCAAGAGATATCTTGTAAAGGTGACAAACTAAACTATCCTTTAAATGCCAGAAAATCATTTGCATCTGGAATACTGCTGCTAAAAATGAACCCCAAACAAGTTTTAGAGAGGAGTTCGGTGTCATCTAATGAAAGCAGAGGATTTCTGTACTGTTTCAGCAGTTTTAAATCAAACAGCTCCTGTTTAGTTTGATGGCGTGAGGCGATGCTGAGCACCACCAGCAGCAGAGACATCAGGGAAAACAGAAACAGACACTAAATACATTTTTTTTGAGTGCCTACTACAAAACATTTGCATGACATAGGAAACAAAGTTTGGTCCTGTGCTACATTGCACTATAATGAGGAGAAACATCAGGACAGATTAAACTGTATGGATAATGGCTTTGTCTACAACCTCAGGTTCTCCATAATGGAGAGGCTAGCGAGGGTCAGGCTTTAAAAAAGTTGAAAGAAACGACTTAAACCCAGTGGGTTTGGCTCATAAGGTACCATACTGAGGACTAGTGAACGACATGTGGAGAAAGTGGCTGAATGAGGGACTGGCTTGCAGCCGATGGCTCAGTAGTTTTACGTGATCAAACAAGTCACAGCAATCCTGATGGCTGTTCCTCACAGCGCAAACAGACAGCCTCCTGAAATAGCTTGAATCCTCTCAGGGTTACTGGTCATTTCTTGTGGCCCTTTTCCCCTTATCACATCCTGACATGGCACATCTACTTGGCAGGCGTGCATGATGGAGAAAAAAAACCGACTGCAGTTATGGAGCATCAGATGGAGATCAAACAAATGCCTGTGCAGGCTTCACATTCATGCACACATCCAAAAAACACTAAACAAATCTTCCTTTTAGTTTTAGGGCTCCACACATCACCTCTCTACCCTTGCTTCAGTTTTCAGTGGTCAGACAGGTCATTTGATTAAAGTCTAGGGGTAAGGGGTAAAGTGGGCAGGGGTCATAGAGGCCTGGGTCTGTGCAGGCCATCAATGTCAGGTGTGAGGTGGGGACTGTGGGTGGCCTTAGTGGGAGTCCAGTCACCCAGGGACGCCTGGGCTGCCTTACGGTGGGCGAGGCGGTGGGTGATGGAGAAGCCTGCGTTACCCTCAAGCTGGGAGAGCACCACCAGCACCTGCCTGCAGGAGGAGACAGAGAGCCAAAGATAAACAGCAGGAATTAGAATCATGTCTGAATTAGAGCCTTGAAGGACCAGACTCATGTCTATCAATTGAAACAGTTTTATCATATACACTATATTGCCAAAAGTATTTGCTCACCCATCCAAATTATTGGAATCAGGTGTTCCAATCACTTCCATGGCCACAGGTGTATAAATTCAAGCACCTAGGCATGCAGACTGTTTTTACAAACATTTGTGAAAGAATGGGTCGCTCTCAGGAGCTCAGTGAATTCCAGCGTGGAACTGTGATAGGATGCCACCTGTGCAACAAATCCAGTCGTGAAATTTCCTCGCTCCTAAATATTCCACAGTCAACTGTCAGCTGTATTATAAGAAAATGGAAGTGTTTGGGAACGACAGCAACTCAGCCACGAAGTGGTAGGCCACGTAAACTGACGGAGCGGGGTCAGCGGATGCTGACGCGCATAGTGCGAAGAGGTCGCCAACTTTCTGCAGAGTCAATCACTACAGACCTCCAAACTTCATGTGGCCTTCAGATTAGCTCAAGAACAGTGCGCAGAGAGCTTCATGGAATGGGTTTCCATGGTCGAGCAGCTGCATCCAAGCCATACATCACCAAGTGCAATGCAAAGCGTCGGATGCAGTGGTGTAAAGCACGCCGCCACTGGACTCTAGAGCAGTGGAGACGCGTTCTCTGGAGTGACGAATCGCGCTTCTCCATCTGGCAATCTGATGGACGGGTCTGGGTTTGGCGGTTGCCAGGAGAACGGTACTTGTCTGACTGCATTGTGCCAAGTGTAAAGTTTGGTGGAGGGGGGATTATGGTGTGGGGTTGTTTTTCAGGAGCTGGGCTTGGCCCCTTAGTTCCAGTGAAAGGAACTCTGAATGCTTCAGCATACCAAGACATTTTGGACAATTCCATGCTCCCAACTTTGTGGGAACAGTTTGGAGCTGGCCCCTTCCTCTTCCAACATGACTGTGCACCAGTGCACAAAGCAAGGTCCATAAAGACATGGATGACAGAGTCTGGTGTGGATGAATTTGACTGGCCTGCACAGAGTCCTGACCTCAACCCGATAGAACACCTTTGGGATGAATTAGAGCGGAGACTGAGAGCCAGGCCTTCTCGTCCAACATCAGTGTGCGACCTCACAAATGCGCTTCTGGAAGAATGGTCAAAAATTCCCATAAACACACTCCTAAACCTTGTGGACAGCCTTCCCAGAAGAGTTGAAGCTGTTCTAGCTGCAAAGGGTGGACCGACGTCATATTGAACCCTATGGATTAGGAACGGGATGTCACTTAAGCTCATATGTGAGTCAAGGCAGGTGAGCAAATACTTTTGGCAATATAGTGTATCTTTATGGATTTATGTTTTTTACTACATAATTTAATTTCAACTTTAATAAAACATCAGATAAATTAACAGCCAGCAAATAAAGAAGATAGAATCTTTTCCATCAAAACTTGACATAAATAAGTCATTTTTACTATACGTGCAATAATAAACAAAGCTATTTTCGTTTCTTTTATACTGTTTTAGTCATTTTATTTTTTTGTTTGTTTAAATCCACAGCAGTGGATTAGATACTTAAGACGACGAATGTTTAAATAAAAGATTTGGTCCTCATCAAAGGTTAACGGTTTTCAACTATTCATAACTTATAAGTGGAGCAGTAAAGTGCTAAATTTGCATTAATGTGGACTTTGAAGGTTTGCCTACAAGGGTGAGAACAGCACAAAGGGAAAAAAGAAAACTAAATCTATTAACTGCTGAATTTAGCCAGAGGATTAATCTTATTGAAGAATAATATAGAGAACAAAGCCATGGGGGCAAACATGTTTATACAATAGCAATTCTATACCTTATTTTATACACAACCAGCACTAATGGTTAAAAAATGCTGCTCTAAAGTCTCTAAAAGCTTTGGGAAGAACTGTTAGGATCTAATGAAACCAACTAGAACCTTCTACCCCCAATTAAAGTTTGGCCTAAAACCAGAAACAGCTAAAAAGCCTAGGAAAAACACAGTGGTGGCAGCATGATGCTCTGGTGTGACTTGTATCTCCAGAACAAGACTTTCTGTGGCGGTGTGTCTGAGAACATGCACTGTTTTTAACGTTACACAGTTTTGAGACGGAAATGTGCTTCCCAGAAAGTTACGAGCAGACTATTTTTTACAATTATGGAGAGAACAGCTATTTATCAAAATGAGCAAAAGAATGACTTCACAGATGTTAGAGACAATCTGTAACTGACAATCTATGTGGTCACCCGTCACTGTTCTCAGCGTCTCATAGATCTGAAGACCAGTTGTAAGGCTGAGTAAAGCAAAGTAGGACTCAAAGTTTAACTCTGATTTACTCTGACCACCAAAGACTGAATTCTAACATCTAGAAGGTATTTCAAAGGTATTCTACTTATACAACTAGGATGCTAAAGTTTTTATTTGTGACATGTTAAAACAAAGATAGGAAAGGTTTTCAGGGTAAAGATGGGAAATGTTATCAGTGATCATGTTTTTAACATGGATTAACAACCTTTGGGTATCCTCTGTAGATACTCAATGAGTGTGTGTACCTGTGTAAAGGTGGTACGCTGTCGATGGTCTTGAGGCTGCCGCGGGTGGACACCACATTGAAGCTGTCAGTGCAGTCACAGGAGACATGGAGGTAGTACTTGGGGTGGCGGTTCTCCACCACCACGATCAGCCCCGCCCAGCCGTGGGTCAGGTAGTAGCAGGTCATGCCCTCCCGGCCCTGAGGGGACAGTACACACAGGCTGAGCTCAGAGCTACTCACTGATGCATCATGTGCTTTAAAGCTTTCTTTTTTTTTGATTCAACAGGAATTTTTCATCAAAGACCAGAAAACATCTGTACGGGGAAAGCCTTAATGCGTTTGTTTTGTTTTTAAAATCTGAACCGTTTTTCTTCTGGACTAATCAAAGATCTGCACATAATAAACTTTGTGCTCAAATATGAACAATAAATCACAACTAAAAGCCTTGATGTTTAAAGACAACAGTCCACAGCTGCCAATTCTAGTCAGATTGCTCATTAACATCATTCCTTACCCACAGAAAACATCTCTACATCAAAAGAACCGTCTTTCCTATAAAGGACATCTTCAATTATTTACAGCTCAGCAAGGACTTTTATTTAAATATGTTGTTCAAACTGCAGCTTATGCTGTGGCTACTGAGTGCTGCTGAGCTCTGAGCGGGAGATTTCCTGAAGGTCTGAATCATTTAACAAAGCTGTTCTGAAGTGTTGCAAAGCCTCTGCTGTCCTTTAAAATACACGCCACTCAGTCTACACTTGGAAAAAAGGCTTATTCACAAGAGACACAGTAAGTTAGCTACTTTGTTTGAGCAGTCGGGCCTACATGAAATTTAATATGAATAAACATTAAAGTCAGAATGATACCGAGAGCTTTGCTCCAAGGGAAATGTAAGATCCTGTTTTAAGGTGGCCTCAGAAATAACTGGGATTACCGTGATTTATAGGAGGAGGGGATGAAGTCAGAGGAGATGTTAGAGGAAGGAAGGAAGGAAGGAAGGAAGGAAGGAAGGAAGGAAGGAAGGAAGGAAGGAAGGAAGGAAGGAAGGAAGGAAGGAAGGAAGGAAGGAAGGAAGGAAGGAAGGAAGGAAGGAAGGAAGGAAGGAGTTTTAAAAAAGAAGGAATGAAAGATGAACAGATCATGGAAAAGGAAACGAATGAGAGGTTGAATAGTTGGAAGAGGCAAGATGAGAAGAAAAGGATGAAGCAAAAAGTAAAGAAATAAAGGGAGGATGGAAAGGAAAAATTAAGGAAGACGGGGAAGAAGTTTATGGAGAAAGAAAAAAAGGTTTGAAAAATGGAAAGAATACATTAAAAAGAAGATATAGAGCGAATATAGTGAGGCAGATTGAGTTAAAGGGAGAAAGAAAGAAAATTATATGAAATTTGGTTCTATAAAGGATGTAACTTAACTGACGCTGGAGTTCATTTTTTTAAATATATTTTCTTTTCCATTCTTATCCAGGCTTGAAAAACAACATTCTCAGTAAAATAACTGGACAGTAGATGTCAGATAAACAGGATCCAGAAACAAGTAAATCTGATCTTTCTGAGGTGAAAATAAAATAACTATTTCTACGAATCAGGGGAACACATCTTGAGGGAAGATATTAAATATTGATGCTTCATTTCATGTTTAAACTAATCCTGATGGGTTTAAAGAGATTCAGGCAAACTTAAAAATGTCTTAAAATACTTTGAATATAAAAAAACGAATAAATAAGCACTTTATTATGAAATATATATAAGACTTGCAGTTCTGGCAACAACCGTCTGCAGGTTGGAGTGTGTGCTGATGACACCCATCTAACACATGCTTTACATAACCATTAACTGACTTTAAAACACAAAATAACTGAGGCAACAACCTGGAGGAAGTGAACTGATAAATTATGTTCAGTGAAGGTGAACATAATAATAAGCTGAAGGTCAAAGAAGGTCAACGGATAAAGAGACAGAACCGTTTTCCTTCTTTAGTTCAATAAGAAGGTCTCACCTCGTGTCTTTCGCCTTTGTTTTCAGTGAGCAGAATGATGGCATCAGCCAGGGTGGTGGCGGTCGCTTCCACCTGCTCCACCATCACCTGTCGGGAGCTGTAGATGGCCAGGATGTGACCGGGGAAGTCCTGGCTGGGCCGCCGGGCTGCTCCACTGGTGGGGCTAGAGACTGAAAAAGAATAGAACATTTTATAAAGCCTCAACAGGCTACGAAACATGTTCTGCAAAAACAGAGACTTAAATTAATGGGAGATATTTGTCTGATATGAATTCTGGAAAAACAGGAAGGAGGGAAGGAAGGAGGGAAGGAAGGAATGTTGAATTTAAGCACGGGGGGAAGGTAGTCCTCAAGAAAAGAAAGAAAAAGGGGATGTAAGGAGAAAGAAATGAAACGGAATCAAAGTAAGACAGAAAGGACTCAAGGAAGGAGTTTGGAAGGAAGAGTAGAAAAGACAATAAGAATGAATGAAAGAAAAGAAGAGCCAAGATGGGAAACAAGGAAAGATGATTAAGGAAAGGGAATGAAGGAGGGAGACAAAGAAGGTAAGGACACAGAAAAATCAAAAGCGCTTCCAGAGTTCATATGAACGCTAAAGTCTACGTACTAATAAACAGTTTACATCAAGTTAACGAACTCCTTCCAGCTGCCTCTGTATACTCACTGGGTGTGGGTGGACCTCCCGTCCCGCTCACATTCATCTGCCAGTGGTTAAAGGCGCAGCAGACAACAGCATACTCCCCCGGCTCCAGCATGACGTCACAGCCGACAAACTTCTTCACAGCTCGCTTGCTGTGGGCCAGCAGGCGGCCCAAAGTCAGCTTGTTACCACTGCCAAACGACGCGCGGAACACCATGATGCACAGGTCCAGCAGGTGGCTGTCAGCTGTGTCCGAGCGCCTGCAGAGGAGTCGGGAGATTCCATTTAAATGGGGAGAGAAGACGACGCCAAGAGGAGGAGAAGATGGGCTGTGTAAGGTTACCTGCTTCCTTCCTGGAACAGAGCAAACTCCAGGGCCGTCCTCTCCAGCACAGTGAGGGCTGTGACGGTGACCGGCCCGCTGGCTTTGCTGGGGAAGTAGCCTTGTAGACGGACCTCCTGCCAGTCTGAGTGGATCTTACAGATGTCAACTGAGTCAAAGTATCTGTGGATGGGAAAAAAAAGTGGGATTGCTTCTTTAGGATTAAAGAGGAGAGGAGAAAAGATGCTTGCAAAAGTAATCATGCACATTTTTCTAAACTTGCACAAGATAATCTGCTCTTTTGTGACCCTTGTCTTCACTCCATTTCCAAAGCATCAACAGGAGCTTTTTATTTGGATATAAAATAAATTCATCCCTGCAAACAAATAAATACTTTAATCCTAAGCATTTATTGCTTTGCTTTAAGTCTTTTTCATTTTTCTGCCCTGCTTCCTAACCTTACTGATAACTTGCTTTTGTTTTCTTACAGTGAAGGGGAACAAAAGCAGTAATGCCAGAGTTCAACTGCTTGATTCTGACTGATCTGAAGATGAACATGATTCCTGATTCTTTGTATTAAAGTTTTATCCACTCCTTTGGGATTTGAGGAGCCACTGCTTTCCAGTTGAACATGTTCAAACAGATTCAGGCTGCAGGTTTGTCAGGAACATTGTGGTTAAAAAAAAAATTAAAAAAGGTTGAGGTAAGTCTTGTCTAGACTTAAAAGATTTTTATGTTCCAGAGAAGAACCGCATTGATCTTAATGCGTTAAAAAGACACAAGTTCTCACACAGATAATCATATGTAAACACTTTGACTAAGATTAATTCAGGAGGGAATATAATGACCTAATCTGCAGTCAAAGACTCATTTTGTGGGTGTCATGATTTGGCCTAGTAAGGAGGGGAAACTGGAAAGCCTAGCTAACTTAATCCCATCACTAAAATAATTAATTATTGTTTGCGAAAGCCTAAGAAAGAGAACTATGAAGTCCCTTGAATTGTTTTTTTCCATCACAAAAAAAACTTACAACATGATTCCTATAAATTAAATCCAGTTAAGAACCCATCTGCCCTTAAAATCAACTGTTTATTTAACCTAACAGACTATTTAACGCTCAGTTTATGGAATCTAAAGTGCATTATGAGAACCAGCGATCGCAGCAGGCAGGCAGCGAAGGATCCAGAAAATGTAAATCAAAATAACAAAACACTTAAAGTATTGCATAATTTTCTCTTCAAAGAAACCTAGGCAACTTCTAGATAGAGGAAACTAAGAAAAATATACAAGTCAACTAAAACAATACATATAGAGGTCAAATTTAGGGGATGAAAATTGACTTTCTTTCTTAAGGCGACGGTTGTTTTGCTGTGCAGCAAAATGTCTCACAAAGATAGTCTCTCTATTTTCTTTCCTCCTCTAATCTCACAATCTTTGCCTGCTTCTCATTCCTCGTTTCTATGCTAAATCACACAGATATGTCTCCACTTTTAAATGTCCTTTTCTGTGTGATCTGTGATGTGTAAGAACCCAGATTTGGAAAAACTAGCCCAATTATTACAGCAAGACGTCTATAGTACTATCAAATATTTGTCATATTCACAGTGGTCCAACAAGCAGCACTATTAAGTAATCCTGTTCTCATGGTATCCAGTTTATTTTATGCTTGTAGTTGATTTAATGTATGTAGCTTATATTTTGGTGCATTTTGGGGGGAATTGGACAAACATGCATTTAGTAATCATTTTTAATTATTTGTTATTTTACTTTAATGACATAAAAGTAGGTCTTCATGGACAGATCTCCCCTCTGTAGATCCATCTCTGCAGACAGGTTAAGGAGAGAGATGTGGAGGAGGGTTAGAGTCTAAAAATCATCTAAAATCATTTGGATTTCTGCTAAATCATCAAAGGGAAATAGAAAGCTTTTCATACAACTGCCAACCTGCCACCCATTTCCATTCTTTAATTTGACAGGACAGGCCTGGTGGGAGAATTTGTTAAGATCAATACTATATTTTGTGCAAACCAAAATAATTTATTTTACGAAAATGCAGCAAAAGGAAAGCAAAGTTTAAGGCAACCGTTAGTGTTTCTTTTTCCCAAAATGCTGCAAGCCGTGTTAGGAACCTAGGAAACAATTGAAGAAATATGATCTGGTCAGATACCCCTATATAAAAAATACACTCAAGCAACCCCCAACATCACTAAAACCTACTAGTAACCCCTTTAAAAGATTACCATATGTTGGAAAGGCGTAGTCAAAGTCCAGGGCTAAATTTGTGTGAGAATCTGTTACAAAACTCAACATATCTTGTTCCAAGAAGATCTCAATTTGATCTGACTGAGCTGTTTTGAAAAGAAGAGTCATCAAATGACTTCGTCTCTCCATCTGCAAAGCTTGTGAAGCCAAACGCTTGTGGCTGTTATTTACGCAGACAGGGACTATGGGCTGCAGAAACAATTGCACCCCGCCTTTGAGTTATTCTTTTCTTTCAGACTCAAAATTATGTATCATTCTATCACAAAACCTCCATAATACATTAAATGCAATAAAGTGCCTGCCTGGAATGTGAAAATGCATGGGGAGCAAATGATTTTGCAATACACTGCACTATGAGTTTAATAATCTAGTAACAAGGTTATAAACTTTATGGGGTAAAGGATACAGACTCACACAGAGATAAACATAAAAAAAAGAGACCATCTGACACTGAATATGTCATCTGACTAAGAGACAGGATTAAATTGCACAATCACTAAGAGGCATGACAAATCTAAGCCTTAGGCTGCCTAACTCTTGGCAACCAAGGCAACCATCAAAATCTTACAATAACACCCTAGTGTTTTTTTTATGTATGATAGAGTAAAATTATTTTTAAGTGAACACAATGTTCTAAAAACCACAAAAGCACTTCAAGTCTGGTGTGAAAACCAGATGAGGAATTCATTCTGTAGAAACATATTGTCATTAAATCTGTCATCATGTCATAATAAAACAACAGCCATATATTTCTCCTGTACTCTGATATAAATCTGTTTGACATCAGCTTTTATAAGGCTTGGAAGTGAAAGAAAAGCTGTAATAGGAGGCTTTGGAGGAATCGCTACATTCATGACAGCAGTGGGTTGGTTATAAACAGCAGAAGTGGGTTGGAAAAGCATTCGCAGTCACAGCTACTCTAGATGACATTTCACAAAGAGAAAAAATATTAATACTTAGTCAGACTCACTGTACAGTAATGACAGGAAAATTCCAATGCGATGACAACTTACAGCATAAACTGAAGTCACATCCTGATGGATTTTAGGTTAGAGAGGATGCCGTGACTTATATTAACCACCAGAGGGCGGTAGTGTAAGTCACTGTATGAGGTATGTAGCTAGAACACATTCTATAGATGGTTTGATGTCCTTGTCTCTGGATCTGTCCCAATGAGAACAGGTTTGCTGGTCTTTCAACTGAAAGGAAGGTTAATGAGAGTTTTAGGAGAGCCTTTTTAAACTCTCCTACAAAGCCAAACATTTTTCAATAAACATATTTTTCCTTTAAATCAGTTTTATTAAACTGATTAAAAGGACATTAGTAATAAAACATAAACCTTTCTAAAACAGGCTTCCTTACACCTACTTTTAACTACTGTCATGAAAGGCAGAAGCGTAAAAATCTGTATTGTTGTTCTTTGGTTTCTATTTGCATAAAATTTTCCCCTTGAGAATTTTATTTTATTTAGTTTATTAACAGAAAATTATCAGCTGGATTCAGTGTCTATGCTGACATCCTCAAACCAAATGCATGCAAAGAAGAATGACAGTTTTTCAGCAAGTATTTTTACATTTTGACTAAATTATTTTTTACTGTACATCCATACTTTCTTTCCCTGCTGTGTTTCTTCAGATAACAATAAACCACAGCAAAGGATCTTTAAAGTTAAAGATGCATACTTAATAAAATCGCTGTACTCCATCCAGAAGACCCCCTCGCTGCTGCCGTGAGCCATCAGCTCGTGCCGTAGGTGCTGAGGCCAGTCCGCCCACTCGTCCGACCAGCTGCCGTTCCAGGAGAAGCGACCCCATGGATTACGCAGCCTCAGCAACCTGCAAATGTCACACATTAAAAACCAGTTAGAAATGTAACACAGCATCTTCGACTGAGCTGACACACGTTTTCATTTAGAGATTACTGCCTCCGTTTTAACAACTCATTTAGTTTTACTGCCTCACCAACAGACATTATGAGATCCTAAATGGGAAAATCAGCAGCTGGACGATCCCTTTTTAAAAAGCGCCTGTCATCTTGTCGATGCCCTGGTACCAAGACGATGAGCTGTTCAGCCTTCCGCTTTTATTATTCTCCGACAGTAAATTGAAGTGACCACATGCGGCACTTCAGCAGATTAAAGCTGATAATTTGCAGCACTTTAAATTTCTTTCAAGAGAGAAGAGGCTTTTATTTTGTGATGAACAATGCCCCAATGATCACAGTGATGATGAAGCTGATGTTCAGCTGTTTTCAAGGGTGATCGAGTATTCCCTCTGTTTATACATGAGTCACTGATGAAACATTTTCACATAGAGAGCATCATTTTTATTCTAAACACATATTGGAGCATTCATATACTGGGGTGTTCAAAAAAACACGCAACGGGACAAGACGGGGAAAAAAACACAAACAATACTTTTCACTGCTGTCTCAGAGTCATTCCTACCTGTAACCTTGCACATCTCGAACGTCAAGAATCGAATAGGCGTGCCTGGGCCTCAGACCCAAGGACTCATACACAGCGTCGTCCACCTTCATGTTCCCTCCTCCACATGAAGCTCCCATTAGAAACCTGACACAAATTCAATTAGGAAAGATCAGAGAGTTAATGAAAAATATTTTATTCCAATTAACATTTATATAAATGTTAATTATTTGAGGTAATTATTTGAGGTTTTTTATTTGAGGCAAAAAAAAAAAAAAAAACTTAAACTAAACGTCTTATTCTAAAGGCCAATTTATGCTTCTGCAACTGTCTAATCTGTCTCTGTGCACCTAAAAAAAATCCTGACTACACGTCGGACGGTCGCAAACCCGCGCAGACCTCAAGCGGAAGTGCACAGACAAAAAGCAGCTGTGATTGGTCCTTGGTATGCCTTTACGGCTGTCTGTGTGGTCGTCCTTCTCGATTCAGTGCTGGGACGCGCCAGTTTCAAAAACCATGGAACAACTACAATGGAAAACTACAAGGAAAGGTTAATCGGTCTTTTTGCCAACTCCATTAACAGAACCTGTTCCTCTTCAATGTCGAGAAACTCTAGATCGATCTCTGTGACGTGATATCTTGCAGACGCGCCGTTGTTGTTTTGGAAGATAAAGACTCCCGCCGGTGCCGCCAAAGTTCCCGTGAGTTCTAGAATAGGCTCCCCCTTGCGCTTTGGTGGGAAACTGCTGTGCGTCCCTAGAAATTCCAGGCCGATGTTGCAGAAGCATACCAGCAAAACTGGTTTGCGACAAGACACAAGCGGCATTTGATGTGTGCGGTTGCAGAAGTATAATCTGCTCTTTACACAACCAAGAAACATTCCCCCACTGGGGGAGGGGAGGACCTCGTCTATTCAGTCAGTCACACAATCGCCTTTAACGACCGACCTTTCAAACTCTTAGATAGGTATGGTGTATTGCAGTCTAACAAAAGAAGCCAAATGACCCCCCACTCCAAATTGGTGGACCCCTTCGTCTGTTCCAATTTGCATATTTCCAAAACAAAAACAAAGCTTGTTGGGCTACTGTATAAAACCTCAAACTCAACGCTATTCCTGACATTTTGAATTGAAAAAGCTTCAAACTTGGAAACCAAGTTCAGTTAATTGTTTTTATTTTATTTTTTTACTTTCTCAGGGCTGGTTAATTTTTATTGGCTTGTATATTTCTGAATATTATGGATCAAATAATTGTTTCATTACTCCAGGAGTTTAGCACAGATCTAGAGAAACACATGTGGAGCTATTTTTCACTGCAAAACAGAACATATAACATTAATTTAAATTAGGATCAACTAGGAACATCACTTTTGAAGTCTTGCCGAAGATTTTCATTTAGGTTTAAGGTCTGGACTATGAACAGATCATTTTTAACTTTATTTAATTTTGAAATTCAACCTCTCCTTTTAATTTAGGCTCATTAAAAGATGAATACTTGATCAAGTGGTAAATATTTAGCCTGGTTTCTTACATCTTATCAGCTCTTTCTCGTTTCCCAACCATTAAAGCCAGAATAATCCAACGAGTTTACTAGAATACAGACATGTCTTGGACATATAAAAGCCTGTATAAGATTTACTTTTCTGATTCGAACTTCAGAAGAGAAAAAAAACATTTACAAATTTGGACCATAAAATCTTAGATGAGAATTGCTAAGTTTTCACTTACTGCAAAACCAAAATGGTGAAAGTTTTAGTGAATTAAATTTCAGATTCCTTTTATTGCCTCCCGGTTAAATCTAGAACATAATTAAAAATTAAATTTCTTCCATATAAAAGTGACAATAATCAGCCTCCCACACATCTGTCTGGACCACATCTTCACCACAGCGCTCCGATTTGTAACATTAGGTTTATCAGTTGTTCTGGAGGCAGATTCCTGGCCTATGTCTGTAGTTGTGCTGCTATAGTCTTTAGCTGCTGGAGGACATACTGATCTTTTCATGCTCTACTAATTGCCCTTAGTCTTCTTTATCTATGCATTGATGCATTATTTGCAGCTATTGTTGACAGTAAATCAAGTTCTATCAGTTTTCTTCTCACCCGCTCTGGTGCTCCTATTTTTGCTGTGTCACCTTCCTGTAAGGGCCATCAGCTGAGTTGTTGGTGCCAGAAGTTTCAGGTTCTCTCCGTTCTTTTTCCACAGAGGATCCAATTGCCCCAATAATTATGTATTTAACCTTGTCTCCTTCCCGGACCTATCCTTTGAAGGAGCCACTGATGCGAATAACTGTGTGTACACTCTCCTATTACTACCCCAAATCTACTGGCCAGGTCATTCTCTAGTTAACTCTGATTCTTTTATAGACAGAGACACAAAAAGAGTAACTGCTGCAGTAAATACAATGCACTGATGTTGCCCTTCCCATAGAAATAGTCCCTAGATGACGGTTTATTTTGTATTTGTCTTCAGTCTCAAATCACCTGTGCTTAAAGCTTGTTTAATGGGAGTTGTTCCTTCCAGTGTTGCTATATGTTTGCTAAGGAGGAGGGATTTAAAGTTAAGTCAGTTTATCAAAGCTAATATTTCCGTCTGAAATTGATCACTTTTAATCAACTTGCATTTTAACCCAGATCAGTTTCTGACATTACAGTAAGAATGAGAATGAACAGTGGATCAGTAATTCTAATCTGCTTATAAAATGTTGTATTTTTTGACTCATTATACATAATTTAAAAAACCTTGGACCTGTTCTGAATAAATATGACTCTGAGATGACATTTGATGTGAATTAGTACTTTGAATTTGAATTCATTTTAATTTACCGGTTTACTTGAAATGAATTGTTTCTGATATAATATTTAAGTGGGTTCAATATAAATGCAATCTAAAGTTTTCAAGTTACAACTGTTCTTAATGTGAATAATCTTTCTTATTCATATGGTTTATTGAGCCCATATTGGAGTTAGGTGTCTTGAAGCAGAGACACATCTAAAAGTTGCAGGAAACTGTCCATAAAGACCAGAGTTTGAGACCACTGATGTAACTCTTACCCGGCCTCCTTGGAGCTCAGCATCTTGGCCCAAATGAGGTCTGTGTCGATGGGTTCCTCTCTGGGGTTTGTGGAGCTGACCTGGAGCATGAGGGAGTCACAGGGGGCCCCAGTCAAAGTGGCCAGGCCCTCTATGGCGCGCCCTGCCTGCAGGGCAAAGTAGGACCCATGGAGTTTGGCTAGGGCTTTCTCTATCAATGCCACCCAAAGCTGCTTCCTCTGAGCCTGTAAATGAAATGAGAAACAGACCAGAATGACTCACTGAATGACGTCTGTAGTTAGTATTTTAATGATAGTTAGGCAGTTTCCAATGAACAGATATTAGATTCTGACAGTACACTGAGAAAGGGTAGCGCTCCAATGGTATTCAGTCATGCTGAGGGAATTTCCTTGTTGGATCTGAGGTTTTAACATGGCATGTAGAGACAATGTTCTTCAGCAGGTGTGTCTCTTTGTTTTGTTTTATACTATTTATTTGTTGCAGATTTAATGTTTTTATCTGCAAAGCAATAGCTTATTATTTAACAATTTCTACTCGGGGGTTATTTGAGATGTGCCTGCAATAAGGTGAAATAGTGAGTTATTTTGATCTGAAGCAAAATAAAAAAATCTAGGTTTCTGTACAACTCTGAATAAATAAATGTGCCTTTAAAACAACTTATCTTTACAATTCTATAAATAGTGCAGAAGTATTCAAAGCTTTTGCAATTATTTAAAATAAACTCTGTACTTTGCTTGGATTGTCATATGCCATCACTAGCTTTGCAAATATAGAAAAGGAAAATTTTGCCTATTCTTCTTGCAAAGTACCTCAAATTCAGTCTTCAGAGCGTTTGAGAGGAAATCATACAAACAGGATTTCATTTGGACATTTGTTTTTATTCTAACCCAAACATGCTCTGATTTAAACCGATCTGAACTTTAATGTCAACCTCATGCTTGTCTGCATTAAGCTAATTCATTTTACAGCTCCTTAAAGGTTCTATTTCAGGATTGTCAAGTGTTTAGCTTCTTTAATTTTCTGATCATTTCTGACCAGCTTCCATGTCCTGGCTGAGCAAAAGCTTCACCACAGCATGATGCTGCCACCACCAAGCTTTACTTTACAGATGGTGTAGTCTGGATGAGGGCACAGTGAAACAAAATGCTTTACATTACAGAAGTTTTTTTTTTTTTTTTTTTTTAAAGAAAAGGTTACAAAAACTGTCCTTTTCCTCCCACTTTACAATTATGGGATACTTCCTTGCTGATTGTTCACAGATTAAAACTTTCAATTTTTGGTCTTCATATGAGAAAATGAAACAAAGTTCAGAATCAGATCGTAAACAAAAAACTGGTGCATACAAAAAATTAATTTGACTGTAGTTTCACTTTCAATGAAGACATCTGAAGTAAAATGTTGAAGAAATTGTGAATATACACAATTTGCTACTAGAAAAATACATGGTTTGATTGGTGCAAATAAGCATAATTTCAATCAAAGTTTTCTTACTCTGAGGTTTTTTCAAAAATAACAAAAGCACTTTTAAAATGCGCTGTGAACTTGGGCTCATTTCTGACTATGACTTGTAATGATCTGTCCCTCAATGATGGTTCTGACCTGGGAAAAGAGGAGGTAGCCATAGTCGTCGCAGGGCAACATGTCGTCCACCAGCACCGTCGTCCATGTCCCGTCTTTGCACAGCCGTACCTGGTAGGCACCCTCTGGGCAAATGGTCCTGGTTATCATAACTCGCTCCACCAGCTCTGGACGCTCTGCTAACACTGCCAGTGCGCTCAAAAACCTAAAAAAGTAGATAAAGTCAATGAACTGGAAAATTAAACATCAGATCAAGGGGAACAGAATTCTGCTTCAAATAAGAGATAAAACAAAACAAACAACAACAAAAAAATCAACCAGGAACATAGAGGAAGAGAATAACAAGGTGAAACTGATCCGCAGGTTATGAGTAGCAGGTGGATGCATGGTGGGAAAAACGGACATGAACAAGAAGGAGAAGACTGTTCAGCAGTCATTAAACCATAATCATCATCACATTTAAATATCATCCACAATTGTAACTTTAGCAGTTCTGTAACTTTTTGCTTCATTTCTCCTCCTTCAAATATCAATCGCATTTTGTCATGCCTCCGCACCCTCTGGTTAACTCCCCATTACTGCTAATTCACCCTGCAGCAGACACTGAACTCCTCATTAGCATGTATGAGAAATTAGTTAATCAAAATCCCAGATAAATCTAAAAATGCTCATTCTTTTACATGAGGGAAATCAAGTCAGAGGCAAAACCGTCCGACTTAAAAGGAATATACTTCAAAGTGAAAATGGAGAAGAAATGGAAACAATGAGAAAATCTAGTTTGTCTTGTATGATTGTGATTTACTGCCAACTCTTCTACAAACAGTGTTTTGATTTCCTAATAAGGCCAGAATAGATGCAGTGTGATCTTCTTAAGCAGCCTTTGGTTGAAGCAAAGCTACAGATCCAGGGACATAGTGAACAGATCTCGAGTAAAAATCTCATTAGCTGTATCATAATGTGACTGTGATGGACTGTCCAGGCTGTACCCCTCCTCTCATCCTACAAATGCTTGCACCAGCCCTGCATGGACAAGCAGAAGGATGGCTGGATAATATGATGGTATCATCACGTTTAGTTGTGATCATATTCAAGGACAAAGGTTGAGCAGCATGTTTTTTTTTTTTTTCCCATTTATATTCCCTTTCAGTCACTCCTACTTTCAGTTTTTTAGAGAAGATTTTTGTGTGCCATTACGATTGCTCACCAGCAGTTTCCAAGGAGTCCTTGAAGGATGTCGGAGGGACGTGGTGTGCGAAAGACGGACCATTTGACACCTCGGTCCTTGAAATTGCTGCAATTGATCTCTTGGGGACGGAGCCACTTTTTGATTCGCTGCTGAACGCTGTCACCCTCGGGAAAGCCAACAGAGCGCGGTCCCGGGGGGAAACTGTCGTCCACAAAGTTCACAGAGTTCTAGATAAAAATAAGGGAAAGAGAGAAACAGCAGAGGTTGGAAAACATCTAATGAATGTCTAAAAAGCTCTTAGAACATGAGCAAAAAACAGTGCTGTAAATACTTTAACAATAGCAGCTTTAGCCTTAATAGAGGATAATGCATTTAGTGCAGCTTGATGAGGGAAGGTAGTTTGTGACCACAAGGATTTTTAGCTCAAAATGACAATTTCCTTATGAGTCACTTAAGGTTTTTGAGGGCAAATCATTCTCAAAAAGCTGCTGACCATCCCGGGGTTTCTAGAAATGGGTCTATTTGAGATGGATGTGACAGACCCATTTGGACTGAGGCATTAAACCCAGAGCTGAGCTGTGTCCCTCTGTGGGATCCAATGTCCTCATTTTCACCAAGAACAGGTTTTACTGATATGTTTAAGGAATTAGCAGCAAACTTATTGCTATAAAAGCCCCTTTAGAGGATAAACAGGTTGATGTAAACAGGAAGCTTTTTAACACAAAGACATCAATCAATATTCTGGTGAAATGACCTGCTTTAACCCATGATTCATTTATTCTAGGTGAACGTCTGACTGGGTACCAACAGTCTGGCACTCTGCAGCATTAGAGGGGACTCTGTGACTATTTTTAATACCACTGTCCTAATTGTAAACCCCTGAAGCATACCTAGCCTTAAAATTTATATCATTAAAGGTTAACTGACCAGGTGAGTAACGTTCTATCATCTAGTTAAACTACAGTTTCAGAGCATTTTACCAAGCCTATCAAAGTCTGTTTACGGTGATTTAGTGAATAATTACATGCTAAAAGTTTCAATTATCTCAGCAAGTAAGAATAATCACTGCCACGGCATACAGAGGGAAACACTGGAGCAGTCCAACAGTAGCAACTGCCTCTCAGCTCAGGCTCAGATTCTAAGTTTAGGTTTGCAAAATAAGGAGTCCAAGGGATAAGCATTATGTGCTCTACACTTCATTTCTCTTCAGTTTATGGGAGAATTACAAATGAAAGGCATCTTGAAATCCATATGTAAATTTAGGTTGGGGCGTGTCATGGGATGACAAACATTTCCTCCTTTTCATTATAACCACTGTAGTTGGAAATTCAGAAGAAATGTGCTTAAGGTTGAGCGTATTCCTCATTTCATGCATTTCGGTTTGTTTGTGCTGAATTCTTGATTTAATCGAAAGCAGTGCTTCAGTGGAAAATCCATGCTGGTCTTTCTACTTGATGCTTCCACAGAGCACCTGATCTGTGGTTAAGATAAATAAAGGAGAAATACAGAAACTGCTTCATCTTTAAAACCTTTGATACTCCTATTCAATGCCTGCTGCCTCTTTAATGCTCAAAGAAACTACAAGGATGAGCTAACATATAAAGACATCCAATGCGACACACTATCTGCTCATCTGAATAGACCGCAGAGAGCCCAGAACAAACCACTTTCAATTTCCCATCTTTGTGTAAGGAGTGAGCTTGGTCTGTTGTGTTGCAAGGCACAACTGAAGGCTCACAGTGAAGCAAATTGATTGGTAACCATCCCCCACAATCCTATTCTGCAGCCTCGATGCAGCATCAGTTTCCAGACGGAGTCACTTTAATGCATCCGCTCCACCTCAAACGTCCCAGGCTCTGTCCACTTGGCTTACATTCTGGGGACTTTACAGGCGTCAATTTGTCCTCTTGTGCAGGACTTAACTTATATGGATTGATAAGAATAGCGTGGATTGCTCCTAGCAGTGGAGAGCAAAGATCAGGTGTCAGGTGGGTTGTCTGAAATTTTAACTAGAGCAACTATAAAAAAAAAAAAAAACACTAAATGGAAAGAAATCAGATTTTTGTTTTATAAGCACATGTCAGGATGCGACAACTATTAGCATGGATGAGTGTCTTTGCTGAGTAAACCTGGCTGTGCCATCTCTGATTCAATCCCTGGGCACGCGCCAACATGTAAAACCCACGACTGGTATCAGCAAATTAAAAGCTGTGCTGGGAAAACCTGCTGCTTTCCCTTCATCTCTCAGACAACACAGAGCTGGCAGGCAGGCAGGCATTCCGGTAGGGAGGTAAGCTTACAACCAAATAACTACACGCTACTTGCTGATATCTTAAATGTTCAGACAAAATAATATCTGAATGAAAGGACTGGATTTCACGGTGCGGTTCTTATTAGAGACACAGACAAAACTGTCCAGGAACAGGCTGGCACAAACAGAGCAGTGGAGATCTGTCATTGCAGTTAGTTTGAGTATGGACTGGTAAAAAAGAAAACAAATCTGGAGTACATTTCTGTTGATCTCTAAGAAAATAACAAAGAGTAAGCCTTGACATATTTTACACAAGTGGAGCTGCAAGAAGCCGTCTTAGCACAGCAAGTGGGCCGACACTCTGCAGCGCTGGCATCAAGCACAAACCCGCTCTTAAGAAGAAAAAATAAAATCAATCTAAGAAAGTCCAAATCCAAAAACCAGGAGGGGAGAGACTAATGGCACTCAGGTGAAAAGAGAACATTTTTAAAACATGATTGTAGCTCCACTGTTGGGTTTTGCAGTTTGATGTAATATGCCCAAACCTCACAATAGCCTGTACTTATATTTCAACAACAACAACACCATCTGCTTGATCCAATAAGGCAAGAAAAACAATGATGCAGGCTCAAACATCCGCTGTAGATCCATGCATGCACTGCTAATGTGTCTTGTAGAAAACAATCAGAGCTTTTATCAGTATTAAACTTCCTCTACTGAGGTTTTTCTGTGCTTGTTTCAGTGTTATTGCCATCAATTAGATGGATTAGGAAGAGCAATGCAACCCATTTATAGCTGCATCACTAGTCAGTGCAGTGCAAAAGTATTTACAGTTTGTCCCTCTAACTTTACAACCTCACATTTCTATAGATTTATAAAAGATTTTATGTGAAAGGCAAAAACAGAGTAGCACATATTTGTGAGACTAACCTCCCGAGTTAATCGCAGAACCTCCTTCCCGTTTTTTTGGTAGCTCTCTCTTTCTTTCATTGTAAAAGGCTAACAATGGTTGCAGAAGAGCTTAAAAGGTCCACATTATTGAACGTTTGAAAATAAAAATACTTTTTTTGTCATTCGTGCAGGAAAATTCCTCCAAGATCAGACAGACAGCCTTTACCAAAAACCTCCTTATTCAGGCCTCCTCTGAACGAGATGTTTGGCCTTGCAACGCTGCGTCCTCCCCAATGCCACCCCCCCAATAATCTGCAACCATGACAACCAGTCCGAGTTCTTATAGAGTTGCTGGAAGAGTGGAATACTACATTAAATGAAGATTGACGAATGGGCTGCTTCAGACCGCTCTGGAGAGCTTATTATCCCTTATGACATCATAACAGGAATGATTTTGAAAATAGAGCATTTTTAGCTAAGAGGTGGAGAAAGGCAACGATGGGGGTGAAAGAGTTAAATAGGCCATTTAACACAAATGAATATCTTGTTCTGATTAGTTTTAGCTTTATCCTGAGTATCGTCCTGCAGAAGGTGAACTCTTTTTGACCTTATTTCTGATAGTTGTATATTCGCTCCTGTCTGTTTTTACAGTGTTTGCACTGACTGACATTCTGACACGCCATTGGAACCAAACAGAAAGAGTCGCAGCACTTTGATTATGTGAGCGATAATATTTACCAGAGACTGGGAGCCGGTGCTCTGCAGCTGTAAAACTGTGCCGCTCAGCTTCGACAGGAGTAATACTTAGCAACATTATAATGGGGCCAAACTAGGGCTGGAACTCACGATTATTTTGCTAATTGATTAAGTTGATTATTTTTTCGATTAATAATTAGGTAGTCAAAGGTTCCTCTAAGGTAAAATGGAAGATGTTCTTTTTCCAGGTGGATCATCAAAATAAGTGGGTAATCATTCTGGTTATATGTCTATTTAAGGCCGTCCTATGTGCTCGTCGCCATTTTTACCTTTGGTCAGTCTGACATAGTGGGAAAATTGAAAATCTTCTTTTGGAAAGTAAGCCTGTCTGAGGGATGCAAACAGCAACTTTTAAACAGAGCGAACACGAGGAGAAGTGGGCTTGTGCATTTTTTAAAATGCGTTTAATAAGCGTTCCCTCTAGGGTGCGTGCATGTGCATTTTTTTTTCTTAATGAAGAAGCTGGTCTTTTTAAAAATTAGCAAAAATCCTCATTATACCTTTACAGAAGACTTTATATGTAATTTTTCCACCAGACGAATTGTGGATAGAGCATATTGATAGACGAAAACGCTTTGTTTTTTTTCAATGTTAAATGATAAATGTTTAGATGTATTTTTTTTTAACAATTTAGGTATAATTGCTGCTCCAAGGTGAGTTGCTCTGTTAGCTAAAGGCATGTTTTAGAATCTCTATACTCCAGTTAACGATTAATTGATTACTAAATTAGTTTATGATCATTTCAATAATCAATTCATCATGATTGGTTCAGCCCAAGGCCAAACATCCTGTTTAGGAAGATCTTTATTCTTTATTCAGCAAATGCAAATGTCTCCAACTTGAAACCTCATAAAAAGAGGGTTGCGTTCTAACCTTGTAGAAAGCATGTTGGTCACAAAGCTACAGCTGGTCATGTAGAAAAATAAGACAAGAGGAGAACACAAAGTTGTTACTACAGAAAAAGAGCCTTGCTGTGACATTATGGGATGTGCAAACTGATTGATTTGTTTTGCCTGAGACAATTCATGCCAAGATAAAGACTTGGTTCAAGCTAGTAAAATGTACCAAGAACAGGTCATGGTGCTTAAACCCATTTTAGATGCAAAAATAAACAAAGCTTTACAATAAAAGAAGAAAAAAACAGACAAAGAGAGAGAGGGAGAGAAGCCATTGACTGAGAAATATGAGTAGTGAGAGATAAACACTTTGTTAAATGGGCATGTCATCTGTTGAGCTTGCAGCTTAAAAAAAACAATATTGGAGAAGTTTCATGTATTTGCCAAAATAATATTAAAACGCTTGTACAGGATTCTGTTGTGGGCTTTCTTG